TAGCCTTAGCCGCCATTGGTGTCGTCCAGTCAGGTTTTCAGAACACTCTTTTTGTGCTTTCCCAGTGTAGTCTCCACTAATCTTGCTCTTTGGGTGGTGCTGTTGAGCGATGCTACACGGACAAAATTTTACATTGTTTACGGGCTGGCACATGTGTCAAAGTTTGATTGGGGTTAGGGAGAGGATGGCCCCACTCCCTGAAAATCAGGGGAAGGTTAATCAGTGTTAAGGCACCCCGTAGAACTCCCATTGTTAGCCCGTGTGTGTAGGATTATTCGGTGTTGTTGGACGGTGCAACCTCAACTATGTTGTGCCCTTGGGCTGCTCTCGTGGCTCCTGTGGCTTCTTTAACCTTGTGGACTAACACCTGCTCATATACTGAGCATTCATGGTCAGTCCTCTAATCATCATTTACACACAAAATCACTTAGAGACATCTATGTCCTTTCACCATACCACCACCTGACCCATCCTTAAAAGGCTAATAGGAGCTTTAGTGCCGAAAGTGTGATGTACGTCTCATGAGCAGACGTGTCACACCAATTCCATATCGTGATGAGGCCATCGCCCCAGTTACTACCGTGTCTAGTTTTGGCAACCGCGCTGACTCCATCTTCTGGACTTGGCATCCATGATGACTGGTTCGATGTGAGAGGTAGTAACAACAAAATCAATGATGGGGGCGTGGAGGTGCGAGATGGGTGCACGGCATAGAGGTGAACGATGAGATCACAGCCTATAATGTGAGCGCATTGTTATTGGAAGCCAGATAATTTTTTGATGAAATTCAACTTAGGTATTATTGATTTTTCATTTGTTTCTTATTGACTTTATCTACGTAATAATCTAACCAAATCTGAAATGATGAAACAATATTTCTATAGGTTAAGAAGGGCCAAGTGTGGCAAGGGGTATCCAATATATATATATATATATATATATATATATATATAGGGAAAATGCATCCTACCACCCGGTGGTAGTTACCCCATATGTCTCATATACTACCATGTGGTACTATATATACTACTTTATCATTTTAAATATATTCATATACTATATCTAAGATATTTCAAAGCAAGTTACATGAAAAGAATGAGCAGTCGAGTGTCCTCGCCTAAAGTGATGGGGACGGCTATGACATGGACACATATTTTTTGATTTGGGCTCTAATTCACGGGTCTTGAAAATGTTTCAACAAAAATGCAATCATTTTGGCATATACTGAATGATTCTCCTACTTGTAGACTTTCTTCGTTTGACACATTTAAATGCCTTTGATTCGAATCAATTGCGGCAACTCCTATGTAGAGCATGGAATTTTGAGGTATGTTTTGATACAGTTCGATTGGAGTGCTCAGCCTGTACATCGATCTGAATTCATCAATGTGTACGGCAAACATCAACTGAAAATATGAACTTGTTTGAATTTGATGTACTCGCAAGTAAAGGAGACTTCCCTTTCGAGGAGTAGAGATCCCAACTGTTTGTGAGAGCACAAAGAAAAAAAAATCAACAGCATTTTCAGGAACTAGTATTCTCCAAGCAGTTGTCATGAAACAACACTACAAAAGAGGAAATTGTACTTTTTGGCAGCTTAAAGCTGGTAATTTCATTTGGGAGGAGGGCAAATGTACGAAGCATGCTGCACACAAAGCTTGGGTCACACCCAACATAAAACACTACACTGATCGTCCTGAACTCAAGAAACACGAACAATCACATGTAGGCGGCCGGCACGAGCCGCGGGGTGACGATGGCCTTGAGCGGGACGGCCTTGGGGAGCGCCAGCCCGAAGGTCTCAGCCATGTCCACCTTCTCCTCGCCGTCCGGCAGCCGCCACTCGAATGCGTGCACCAGCGTTCCCAGGAAGTACTGCACAAAGACCATTCCAGCCAGCTTCCCGGCGCATATCCTTCTGCCGGCGCCGAACGGGATCAGCTCGAAGTTGTTCCCCATGGGGTCGATCTTGGCCGCCGGCCCGGACAGGAACCGCTCCGGCCGGAACTCCAGGGGGTCCTCCCACGCCACCGGGTCGCGGCCGATTGCCCAGATGTTGATAAGGAGCCGAGTGTTGGCGGGGACGTGGTGGCCGTCCACCTCGCACTCCTCGAAGGAGAAGTGCGGCAGGCTGAGCGGCGTGGACGGGTGGAGGCGCATGGCCTCTTTGCATATGGCCTGCAGGTAGGGGAGGTTGGCGATGTCGGATTCCTCGATGCGGCGGTCACGGCCGATCACATGGTCCATCTCCTCCTGGGCGCGCGCCATGATAGACGGGTTATTGATCATCTCCGCCATTGCCCACTCCACAATGATGGACGATGTGTCCGTGCCGGCCGTGAACATGTCCTGCATGCATGCATACACCGGTTTAAAATTCCAAGTTTTACTATCTTTTTGCTGCATTTTTCTACATCTACGTGTGCATGCTTATATGTGTCCGAGAGTGGATTATCCATCATATGCAATGTATGCATCCACCTTTCTTTCAATTGTTGAGATTCGCGCCTCAAAATAATGCAAATTATCTTCTCTTTCTCATGTATAACCACCTCACATATCGTGCCTCCTTTTCCATGCCTAGTGGGAGGTGGCTATGATGTCATGTAGAGTAGTACGTTACGCAATGCTTGAGAACACTGTCCTACCCACTGCATGCCACCACTAGCCCACCACTCTCACACTCACTCCATGTCTATCTCACAAATGTCTTCACTCTTCTTTTTAGGAAAACAATATAAATGGCTAATAATGTTTTGAAGCATTGGCTGTGTGCATCACAATGATTCAGAGGCTGGGAGTTATCCTCCGTTTCTAAAATAATGTTTTGAAGCATAAGTTTGATTGATATTCTGTTTGAATAGTTGTGTTTATTCTAAAGGAGATATTTCAAAAAGACTAATATTGAATATATTAATGAAATAATTTTGTTACAACAATAATACAATTTGTCTTTTGACTATCATTTTATTTAATGTTCAGAAGGTTCACTCTCTTCCGGGGTTTTCCACAATGTTTGATTGTTTTCAAATGCACTTTGAACTTGCCTCTTGCAAATTAGTTTTAGAGTGTACCATGATATTTCCTTCTGTGTCAGTGTGTGCCATGGTTTTGGGTACCGGGCGGAATATTTGGGAACTCACAAAGAACATGCAGGCAGCCGTGGTCAGCGTGGGCATACTAATTATATATCCTGCGCTCTCGGGTTCTAGTGTCATAGCTCTTGATTTTTTTTCCCCCACAATTTTAAGGAAAAAAGGAGCATGCATGTGAAAATAAATGTTGCCTGGGTGATTTGATCTAGCAACCTCAAGCTAGGAGAAACATGCACAAGAATTAACCACTGTACCACACGGTGGTTGCTCATGAAATCAAGTCAAGGGCTAATCTATAGTATATTAAAGAAAACTGAATTCAAAATTCAAATTCAAATTTTGTACGAAATTTTTCCGGGATTTCACGGATACCGCGGTAACCGGGAATTTCGGTGCCCCGCGAGAAAAAACGTGCACTTGGGATCCAAATCCTTGGTGTGTGCTACCAAACCAACTCAATATAAATACGCCAGTAAGGGTACAAATCTTGAACTCAATGAATGGCTGATGCAAGCACGAGATATCCTGTGTATGGTACTCCTATGTGTGCATTTCTCCTATGTGTTGTGGTATGAAGCACTAGAATGGCAAAGTGGTAATTACTTACGAAAAATCCCGTAGGGAGTAGTATTTAAACGCACATGTAATCATCAACTTTGATAATCACTTGACCAGAGCGCACTACTAAGGCATCATATTAAACTATATCATATGCTACAACTTTTTCAATGTGTTGTATCTTAATGTTGTACTCCATCTAAAAGTACTCTTATTTAATGTGTTTTGCGAGTCCAGATTAAGATGCAATAAAACTCTCTTTCCTCATTAAATAAGCTGCCACATCAGATTTTCCCTAGATATCAAGTTTTTGATATAGCACATAGCACACGCCATGAGTGCACTTTGCTTGGCAATCTGATCAGTTTGGTGTACTCAATTATACTGTTACCACTAATCCGTTGAGAATGATTTGTGCCTATATCATTTCACGGGAAACCAGATCAAAAGCAATTAAGCAAAGCTACGCTACACCAACCGAGTACTGGAGGAATCGGTATCACCTTCAATCTTCTCTTCCCAACCCAAGTGACTAAAATCAGTTTTGTTTACAAGTGTGAGTGATTGCTATCAAGGGGAAGGGTGAGTGATTGCTACTGACCGATCAAGTGTGGACTCGATCGAGACCGAGAGTGACAGATATGTAACCGTGTTTTTTTTCTTTTTTATTGAAAAAGGAGGTATACCGACCCCTGCGTTTGTTGATGCACATAGCACATGGTTATAAAAAGAGGAAACCTCCAATTAGAAAGAAAGAAAAACTTTTGAGACTTGCTACCGAGCCAGATCCCAAATTTGCTCCATATTTCAAGCATTGCTTTTAGCTCTTATTACTACAATAGCTTAATTCTTATATAATTGCCGTCGCATTCCATTACCAACAAAAGAAATGTGTGACGGCAATTTTCCAACACTAACTAGCTAGGCTTAAAGTTCACATATGATTGTCTTGATCTACTAGGTGGAAGATCGCATACTATGGGTGTACTGAAATTGTTGCATCATAGTAGTACGGACGGTCACATTCTGGACCATCGCCTGTGTATATGACTAGTTTTGAACGTACTACGATAGCTACTGCTAGTACTCATCATGGTAACGAAACTACTACCCCGACGGCAAATCGTGGTGGTGCATCTTTTTTGGGGGGACTGTAGCCATCCACATTTGTCTCCATCGATCTCTTTCCAACCACTCCACTAGCTAGGTGACGACCGGCAACTATATTGCACCACCACCACAGCTGCTTCACTCGATTGCATGCATTGGGTGGTTCCCGTGTCGTGCACACGTATAGATGATGATGCGCATCGATCGGTACAAGTTGACGAGAACCAAAATGTACTACTATGTTGATGCATGCGGCCGGTGATTAATCAGAAATGGCAGAGGGAATAAAGTGTGGGAGCTTACGAAGATGAGGCCCTTGATGTTGACCTCGGTGATGGTCTCGCCGTCCTCGTCCTTGCTGCTGGCGCGGAGCCTGTCCACGAAGTCGAGCCGGCCCTCCCGGGCGCGCTCCTCGGCCGTCGCCGCGTGCTCCGCTAGCAGCTTGGTGATGAGCCCGTCGAACTGGCGGTGCACCCGGCGCAGCCTGGCCTGCACCCCCTGCAGGTCCAGCCACGACAGCGCCGGCACGAAGTCGCTGATGTTGAACAGGCCCGTGCCGGTCAGCAGCGACACGATCATCTCCTTGTAGCTGCTGGACTCGTCGCCCTGCGCGTCGAACACCCGCTTGCTCACCGTGATCTGCCCCACGATGTTGGCCAGCGCGCACACCAGCACCTCCGGCACCACCACGGCCCGCCCGGCCTCCGCGGCCTCCGCCATGCCGCGCAGGGCGCGGCCGGCCTCGTCGCGGCGCACGCCTGCCCAGTCCGCGACCGCGCGCGCCCCGAGCAGGTGCACGCTCGACAGCTTCCGCATCAGCTTCCACTTGGGACCATAGTCGGCGAACACCATGTTCTGGCGCCCGTAGGTGATGTCCGCCGCGCTGGCCACAGCCGGCCGGTTGGCGAAGCGCGCGTCCAGCGCCTTGAGGAACGTCCGCGCGGCCGACGGCGACGAGGCAACCGCCACGCCGCAGGTGCCCATCCTCAGGTACATGACGGGGCCGTACTTGCGCGCCAGCGCCGCGAGGCCGGTGTGCGGGGCCGGGCCGACGAACGGCATCGCGCCGAGAATGGGGAGGCCGGGAGGTCCCGGCGGGAGCCGGGAGCTGCGGTGGTTCAGGGAGTGGCGCAGCGCTAGGTGGAGCAGGAGGCACAGGAAGGTGCAGGAGAGCACGAAGGGGTCGGTGCACAGAGCGGCGAGCTGCATGGCGGCGGCGCGCGCTGCAGCTGTGCAAAGTGAGCTGAAGCCGCGGACTCCTCAATGGCAGCAGTCTTAGGCCGCACTAACTATAGGTTATAGCCAGCATAGCAAGGTGATGAGCTCCATCGTGTAAAGCTTTTGGCATGGCGTTCTTGTTGTGGATGTGGTGAGTGGGGCGGGCAGTGTTGACTGTTGAGAATGATGATATGATATCACCACCTTGCATTGCATTGGTAGTGCGGTGTGCCCTTTGAGCAAGGGGAGTTGGTGGAGGAGAGTGATGGACAATCCTCCTCCTCCAGCAGTCCACATTGCAGGGAAGGACGGCAGATGATGCATCCATGGCGACCGTGTCCTTGTCGCGGTTCGGTACCTTGAGTACTTACTCCACTCGCTGATTGCGAAAGCTATGACACTAATCGCTGGTCTCCCGGCTGGACTGATTTACTTTTGTTGTAAAACGATATACTCTCTTCGTCCCACAATATAAAACGTTTTTCCAAGCTATGTTACATTATGAGACGAAGGGAGTATATTTTTAGGTTTGTTGAACTTATTGGATGTGTGCATTGTGTTATGCAGAGGCCGTACCTTTTTTTAATATGGCTGTATCACCTTGATATATTAATTGAATGAAAAAAAAACGCTAGCTTTTTTTTTTAGGAAAAAAAAAACGCTAGCTGCTAGGGTGCGCGCGACGGGACTTGGAGCAAGCACATGAGCCAGCCGGTGGCCGTTCACATGTCTCTGCATGCAGCCTCGTACAACAGCCAGTTGAAATGTTATGTTCAACAATCGATTCATTGCAAACATTTTTTGTACTGAAGTCAATAACATTACGGCACGTCAGATTTTTAAACATGGCAAATCGAACTTTTTTATGACAAATCGTGTTGAACCAAGGATGACAATTCTCTTTAGGAAGCATGACAAATCCTGGCAAAAAACTAAACATGTCCAAGATTTGCCATGCTTCCTAAAAAAAATTGCTATCCTCGATACAACATAATTTTTCATAAAAAGTCTGATTTGCCATGCTAAAAAATCAGACGTTGGATGTGTAGCAAAATCCAAATATTAACTCCATGGGTACGGGTGCTGCAATGCACAGCAGTGTGCAAGTGAGCGATAAAACTACTAGCGTGTGGCTGGTTTTTCCCTCTACTCTTGTTCTGAACGAAATTGTCCAGTTTTCAGACATAACGGACGAAAGTGTAGCCCAAATAAAGTTAATAGACTAGATGTCGGACTTTAGGTAAATTTGAGGGATAAAAAATGTAGTTTTCTATGCTGAAATTCATTTAACATGTTGAACATGGTGACACGTGGCAACGACTGGATGCATCACTTGCAGCACTCGCATGCTCTCATTCTCATGGCCCAGGTAAAGTGCTAAGACGAGG